GCCTAGCAAGGTCTGTCCCCTTCCCTACTCCCTTGATTGTGGTCTGCTTCCACTGACCACACAATGAGCGCTTTCTCCTGTGCATGTCCCTCTGCCATGCCAACCTGCCTTGGAGCCAGCCAAGCATGGACTGAAAGCTCTACAGACTCCCAGCCAAAATAAAGCTCTCCTCCTATATAACTTACGGGTTAGGGTAGGCAACTAAAACCTAGGGACAAACTAATTGTACTGCTCCTAGGACCCCGCTGCGAGGCCATCTGTGGCTGTGGCTCCATATCCTACCTTCAGTGCTGTTGTACTGTAGCTTTTTCTTACAACACACTGTAGATGTGTAATCCATGTTACTGTGGACCCCGTGAGTCTTCCTTCAGTAACTGAACCCTGACTAATACCATCTTAGTGCACTATCAAAAGGTGAGGGGCATTTACATAAAAGGGACCATATTTTTCTTGTGGTTTGTCAGAGTGAGGGCAGAAATGGAAAGTTCAACTTCATTCAGACATTTCCAGGCTGAACCACAGCTCTATGATATGTGATTTGCTTGCTGAACAGATGCAAATTATTCTCGATTTCTTGTTGTTTGCAGAATGTCACATTTATCAACTGTAGTATATTTAGCCCTATGGCTTGGGCTCTCTCCAACCCCTCCCCAACTAATAAACTAAATATATTTCTTTTGTTAAGTACATTTTCACTTCTGCTCTTGGAAGTTGGATCTATTTTTTTTTTCATTTTTAGAAGCCATAAACCTATGGAATATTATCAAAACCACAGAAAGAAGAAGAAAAAGATTATCTTTTTTCAGTTTTCACCAGAGCATCAGCCATATGAAACAGCTTTTAAGTTCTTTTTACCAAGATTTTCTCTTTGTCTCTGCTTTTCTTTCAAGTTTAATTTTCATTCATAATACACTAAAGATACTATAGTTAGGCAACATTAAATGGATTATAAACTGGAGACACCGTAGCCCAATGGTGATGCTCTTGACATAATTAGTGAGTCTTCTATCACAGATAAAATTGTGTTATTCGATATTCCACAATATTGAAACTCTGATAGGGAAATAAAAAATAAGATCAAGGGTTTAAGAAAGGTGGCAGTGCATATTTTCAAAAGCATCTGTAATTCAAACTCTTCACTGGCATCAGGAAATCACTGAGATAAGATCACTAATTTCCATCAAATTAAGAGCTAGTAGAAGGACCTTTGGTCGGAAAAGCTAGCCAGGGCAAATTTTATTTGCCTATACCACAGACAACAGGTCTTTATCATAGCTTTGCAGACCTGGAAAGGACAAAAGACCGGAAGGTAAACCTAAGCAAATATAAAATTAAGAAGAAAATCTTAAATATCCCACTGAAAAGTTACTAAGTAATATGGTCACACATTTTCAATAATAAAAGGATTGGTGAATTCTTCACTCTTCTTACTAGGCAAGGCACCCTCCTGGAATTCGTAGAGTTAAGTACCTATTTTAAATAAAACACCTAATTTTGCTAACCTTGAATTTTTTTCAAATATGAGAAGTTATGCTCCAAAAGAAAATGCTGAGAATTTGCAATCTGTTTTAAAAGTAAAATTTAAAGAAATCATTCTACATTCACAGCCTGACTTTATTCCAAGGTTTTCACCTCAGATGTCCAACATATTTTACAGTATCAAAATTTGCCCAATGTTTCTCAGAAATTTTAACATACATTGAAATGATAGGCAATAAAACATATGTGGACAGAATTTTCTTTAAACAAGAAAAGAGAATAATGCCTAAAGCCAGGGTCAAAGGATGGTTGTGGAAAGGGAAATCATTTTCAGAGATTACAGGTATTTCCATGTAATCTATCTCAGAGTTTCTTTTGTAGTATAACCTGGAACAGCTGTTTATCTCTTGAGTTTTAGGATCTTACAGGAATATGCTATAGCACTAATAACAAGTTTATCACTCTTCTTTCATCAAAAGATAGCAGTATCTGTGGAGTGGGGTGGAGTCAAGAAAAGAAAAAGCAGCAGACAATTCTGTACTTAGCCCCAACTTCAACCTACCTCAGCCTGCTTTGTGCCCACTGTGGTACATTAACAGATCCTTAAGGAACTTCTAGGTCCAGGAGTCTTTTACAAACCACTTGAACTTGGCAGCTACATAGCTGGAAAATGATAACTCCAGGCTATAAGCTCTACAGAAGTGGATGTCTTCATTGACTTTCATTCACAGATTTATTTCGTGAAAATATTGAGCCCTAGTCTGTGCCTGTTTTATTGTCAAGCACAGGAAATAAAAAGATAAAGAGGAAAGACCTACCTTCTCTGGCCAAATAATTCCACTTCTGGCATGTTTCCCCTTCTATGTAAAAACCCTTTACCAGTGACTCCTTGACTACCTTACTGGCAGCCTCTGAAGAGGTCCTAGCTGGACTGCTTCATTTCTAAAGACTTGGTGACCAAAGTTCACAGTCCTCCTCCCTCCTTAAGTTCAGGCACCACTGCAGGATGACATCAACACTTGCATAGAGGACTTGTGCCCCACTGTAGCCTCTCAGTCCCTTAACTTCCTACTCCACGTCTGCCACCTACTCAAAGTGTCATATCCTAGGCCACTGACAGCCAACCTTTTAAAGCTCTCAATGATATAAACAGACTGATGGGCACATGTGCCACAGGTTCGCCACCAGTGCCCTAGGCCTTACCACATGCACCATTCACTGAGGCTCCGTAACGTTGAAAAAAATGAGCCTCTAACTCTGCTGGCCCCTTCTCACTGCAACTTCTTGGCCGGCAGTTTCTTCATCACCTCTTCTTTCACCTCCCCTGAGCAGCTGTCTTCTAGATCTGTGCATCTCTTAGTTATCTGCTATCACCCCAAAGTCACAGCTGATCTTACACAAAAGATACCTGACGCACAACATTCAAACCACACTTTTGCCCCAGTCCTCACTTCTTGAGCCCAGCCATCCTCTCAGACACAGCATCTGGCTTCTGACTGCTGGCAAGTCCACCACTCAGCTAGTAGCTCAAGCCGAGAAGCTAAGAACATTCCTGGATTCTCCTTTACCCACATCATTCTCTTCCACCTACCACTGAGGACTAGCGAGCCTACCTCCTAAATATTTCTAAATTCTCTCCACCACTTATTTCCATGCCTAGTTTGTTAATTCAGGCCACCATACTACTGGTTTCTATCTGTACAGCAGGTCTCTCTCCTGTCAGTCACACAACCCCGTAATCTATACTTGGTTTCACAGCCAAATTTATTTTTCCAAATGAAAATCTGATCATGTCATCCCCTTGCCAAAATCTCTCTGACAACTCCCCAGTGACCACTAAATTCCTTAACTTTGGTTTTAAAGCCTTTCACAATCTGCCTCCTGCTGCTCTCTCCAAGCTAGTATTTTCCAATAGCCCCCATGGAATTACGTGCTTTCACCACACTGAAGTATTTTCAGTTGGAGTGCATCAGGCTTTGTTTGCACTCCAGGCCTCAGACCCTGAGTCTTTCTTCTGACCAGAAGAGTCGCCCTAAAGTGAGCTCTACTTCCCTCTCTGGACTCACCTAGCTTAGACATCACCAATTAGAGCACAGCAAATATTCTCTGAACCCCACTGCACACAACACACCATTATTCCACTAGGACACAACTAAGTGATGATGAAATTATCTTTTATTTCCCTCAGTGCTCATACAACCTAAAAATTGTGACAATGTCACATTATGTTTTCACTTCAATCATGGACATTCTTGATGACATTACATATTATCTACAAATTTAATAAATTCCTTGGCTATTTCTTTTACACTGTAAGCTCCTTCATGGTAGGGACTATGACTGTCTGTTTCATGGATATATCATCAATGCACATAGATGCCCGAACAGTATTACACTATAAACCACTTTTTAAATTTTTAGGTACAGTCTAGAGATTGAACCCAGGGTCTTTCCGCTAAACAGTATCACTAAGCTATATATATATACACACACACACACATATATATATATATATATATATATGGATGTATATGTTTGGTTTTGTGAAAATGTCTTAGTAAATGTTCAAATTGCCCAGGCTAGGCCCAAACTTGTGATTCTCTTGTCTCAGCCTTCAAAATGCTGGAATTATAGGCCTGCACGACCATGACCGGCTTCACTTTGTTGATAACAGAGTATGTATCTGATGAAAAGATTATACAATACTTTGGATTTCTCCACAGACATGATGAAAAAGAGAAAAGAAACGTAATCATTTTTCCTTTATCAAAAAATTCATCTAAATAGTAACATTCAAACACCTCTGTGAACTTGGTTTGGATAAAACAGTCATAACTTTCTATCACTAAATATACTCTGTAAGATGAAAAATACAGTGGCGGCATAGAATACAAGTTTCATAAAGATAATTACAGATATCGATGCCATTAATTACAAATGAAAAGTTACCAGTACCTTATCCATTTAACATCAGTAGCTGAGAAATAATCCCAGTGGAGGTAAACACTAAACCAAAGGTAGGTACTTCTGTATTTCCCCAAAAATAAGATGCAGCTAGAAAATATTCAGTCTTGAAAACTAGAGATCAAAAATACTGGCCCCAAGCAGCGTCTCCTCGCCTCTCACATGCCTTACAGAGTGGCTACTGAGCAACAGGATAGTAATGGCAGGTGAGGCAAAGTCAGGCTGATCAGGGCTGGCAGATTTGATCCTTCAAGGCTGATTATTCTCCAGCTAGGTCTAATTTGGGGGGAAAGAGGGGTTTTTTTTTGTGGTACCAGAGATTGAAGCCAGGAAAAAGACAAAAAAAAAAAAACAGGAACTCATGCATGTTAGGCAAACACTACCACTGAGCAAGATCTCCAACTCCAACACACTTATTTAAGGAATGAGTTCTATGTTGCAACAGGTCTTGTGCAAGCTAATTTATACCCCTGTTCAAGGGAAAGATATCTGCAACCCACTTGTTTTTTCTTTTTAAGCAAAATGAATAAGATCTTTAATTACTGATTAATACTTACAGCAAAGGGCTTTCTGCAGTCTTCTGAGCTTCATGGCAGTTCTATAGGCTGAGAACCTGACATTATTCAGGTCAGCTGAAGAAAAAGGGGAGGAAAAAGAGATCATTTGTTATTTCACAGCAGAAAGCACAAACAGAAGACCCCCATGATTTATCAGCAACCAACAACTACAAAAATAGGTTACAAAAAAACTTACATTTATGCACTAAGCTTGGGGAGGGGGCTGAAACTCTGTTGATCTGGCATTATGGAGGGGAAAAAAACTTTTTGCCCTTTGATAATCAGGAAAGCTAAGTTCTGTGAAGGACTATAGTGCCAGATCCTGCAGGACATTCATGTGGTCCTTGCTCCCAAAAGGGAAAAGAAGGGCAGATAGTATTTTTATTCCTAGACTACAATCTACATCCACTGTAGTGAATCTCTACTGTATAAGATTAAAGGAAACAACGAATACATGACCTAAGTACAGCCAGCAAACAAAGAGCAATATGTGACTTTTCTGGTTATAAAAGTTACACATGAAAAAAAGTTACACACACTCCCTGTAGAAAATGGTAAAATTAAAGGAAACTATAATGTCAAGTAAACAAATCATCCTTAATCCCATAATCCAAAAGATATGTACTGTTAACATTTTGAGCATGTTTTACTTGACACATGTATTTCTGTGTAGTTTGAAATGCAGCTGAAACTAAAATAAATTTAAATATTTTTCTTTTTTTAAACCAACACAAAATTGTAATATATTCATGATGTAACAGCATGTTTTAAGGACTACATCTATACTGTGGAATGGTTAGATCTAGCTAATTAACACACTTTACCTCATACTTACTGTTTTTATGTAAGAACACTTAACATCTATCCTCTTAGGGTTTTTTAAGAACACAATATGTAGTCATTAGCTATAGTCACCACACTATAGAACAGATTTCTTAAAGTTACTCCTTCTGACTGCAATTTTGTATTCTTTGGCCAACAACTATTTTTATATTTTAAGACACAATCAATGTAATATTTATCAGAGAATAACAGCTCAACAATTTATTCTACTCTTGTCTACATTTATCTCTCAAACCCTGACTAAAGTCACTTAGCAGGAAGTTATATTCAGAGAATGTCCTTAATTTAGGCTTGATACGTCCTTGTCTACATTTCTTTTCTAGTGTTTCTATGTATGTTTCAAAAACTCAGCTCCAAAAAGCTTGAAGAACCTCATCACCTACTCCTGTCATATTTCCCAGCAATTTAATATATAACCACTCTCTCAAAAAGCAGGTCTAATACATCTAGGGGACTGACGGAAAGGTTGAATAAATAAATGAACAGAAGAATAAAAAAATGACATATTTTAAAGCAAAAATCATAGTAGACATGATTAGCTGCTCTAATCAGAGGGTGCACATAAATCACTTCTAATGGTACTAACAAAGGACAATAATTTCATTCATATCCCAAGTCTCTTGGATCAACATTATTAGTTTTATGGTCTCTCCAGAAACCAAACATAAAAGCCTGAATATAAATTAGGGAAAATAAAATAATGTCTAATTTAAATAAGCTATTTAACATACATTTTTTTAAAAGACTCGCATAACCATATATAATGGTGATGATATGGAGCAACTAGAACTCTCATACACTGTTGGGAGAAATATAAAGCAGTATAACTTTGAGAAATCAGTTTAGCTGTTTCTTATGAATTTAAGCATATCTCTGTCTTACAACCTGATATTCTGTTCCTAAATTTTATCCAAAAGAAATAAATCACATGTCCACAAAAAGATCCACACATCAATGTCCACAGCAGTTTTATTCATACTTGCCAAACACTAGCAACAAAACAATAGGGTAATAGATAAACAATGAACACTACCCTGCAACAGAAAAAGAAATAACTATAGATAAAGCAACAATATAAACCGACTTGAAACACACTAAGCTAGGTATGCCATTTATACCAAAACTGTATACTAGGCAAAACTCACTCATAAGAGGAGATGGTAGCCTATTCTGGGGTCAGTTTAACTGGCCACAAAGAACACAAGGGATTTTCTAATTGGTTGAATTGTATTTTGATTGGTAGTTACACAATTGCATGTGTGACAAAACTCAAAACTTTACATTTAATATGGAAATGTCTTATGGTGTTTAAATTATGCCTTAGTAAATGTTAAGAATTTAAAAAAGAAACCTCATGTGGACAATACAACATGATGTATGAGTGTGTTAGCTTAAGCTACAGCTGTAGAGGCGGTCAGTTGTCTTAATCAGGAATGCACACTCCAGGGGTGGCTGGCTTGCAATTAATCAAAAAGTTTCACTGCAGAGGCAGCCACTGTTAGTGCTTTGGCTATATTTAGCTCCTATTACACGAGGGGTTTCATTAATTATCCTAATTAATGTTAGATGGGCTTGCACTGGTGATATCAGTAGTTTGCAAAACATGAGGATTGTTGAAAAAGATTTAGAAACATTACCTGGGTTTAAGAAGAATCTAGTAACTCCTACATCTTTTGAATAGTGCCCTAGGCTAGAGTTCAAACTACCCAGCTGAGGCCCATTGGATTCTTGGTTGTGTGATTCAATGAGATGATTGACAGAACCCTGCTGCGAGATTCATGACTGTCAAACTTAAGTGGAGGTCTCATTGAAAAATACAGATATGCCCCAGATTTCCTTATCTAGCAGGTCTGGGAATCTATCACCCTCCACCCACCCCTACTGTTTTTTTTGTTTTTAGCTGTAATGGAAATTAAAACCAGAGAAAAATGAACTACATCCCCAGCTTCTTTTATTTTGGGACAGGGTCACACAAAAGTTGCCTAGGCTGGTCTTGAATTTATAATCTTTCTGCCTCAGCCTCCGGAGTAGGCCTATACCACTTACAGGCCTATATATTCCACTGTGCCCTGCTGGTCCCGTCTGATGAACATCAACAAGGTATTCAGTAAGTTAAAGGCAATCAAGAGCATCTTGAAAGATATGCATAAGATCCTTCTCAAAGTGAATTAACTTCCCTGGACCTGTTCTTTGGTAAAGAGAGCTTAATTTTTTGGTTCTCTCTGATTTTCTTTGATTGTCTGCCCCAAGAGTCAGTTATTCCCTTGTTTCTTTTCCCTAGTTACCACTGTTTACTTTTTTGGGTGCTGTCAACTAATTCATACTAAGAGCTGTCTTGTGGTATTAATCTATAGGAAATCAATTCCTGCCTTCTCCTCTACACTGGAGTAACAGCATTCAGCAGTACAGTAAGATTTCTCTTATGCTTGCCAGTGTGGAGTAGCCTTCACACATACTCATAATTGAGTCCTTCTGACTCTATAAAATAAACAGTGCAGACACAGGCACTTATGGTCAAATGCAGATCCCTTTTCCCTGAATAGCAGCTTGTAGCAATATCCAAAAAAATGAGCTTCCTACCCCAAATTTTCTTTTACCTATTTACTTATGCTGTGTCAAGCAATCATCTTGGTCACTGTTATTGGCAAGAGGTTTTTCTTCTTTTTCCCTTTCTAAATCTCCCCTTTTCAACAGTCTCTTAACAGTCTTGGTTTCCTATTCTTGTCTTTCAAAACACCGAGATCCCTCTCTGATGACCCCGGTTTGACTCTGCTTTCCAATTCTCATGGTTCTATTCAGAATTCAGAATGGCCCAAATGAGCTCAAACACTCCATCCAAATCTCACAGTTCATATTAAGAATTGGCAAATTCTAGGAGCTAGGGCTCCAAATGGGAGAGACAGGAATGATCTGATTCTTTCAGGGTGTGGATCACTGTGCAAAAATATCCAGAGACAAACATCTGGAACACTCCTGCTGTAGCCACACTATCGGCTTCCCGAAAGCACTTCAAACTTTCCTGTCTTCAGGATCCTTCTAATTATGACACATTCTGCCTCCAGTTAATCCTCCCCGACACTCTTACATCACTGCACCTCCAAACCACTGTGAAGAACAAGCCTTCTGCTACCAGTTTTCTATGCACCACAGTCCAGCCCATTCTTGAACAGTGAGTCAGGAATACCAGAACAGAGAACATGGACAGTTCCCAACATAATGCTACGGAAGTCATCCAAGTACACATCCAGGAATCCTCAGCAAATCACAATGGATTTCTAGTGTCCTGAAAATCCTACTCAAGAGAGAACTGTCTCGCGTTGTTTAAGCCTGCAAGTGTTGCTAAGAATCTGCAGCACCACTCCCTCTGGTTTACTGCTGGAAGAGAGAAGTCTGCTCTCTGTGAAAGTGTACAGGATGCACACAGAAATCTCAAGATGTGACACAGCTGCAAACAATGATGCTGTCCTGGGGTGAAGCTTGAGATTGTGTAGCTAAAATATGTGTGCAGTTTAATAATACTGAGCCCCCAGTCCTGTGGCTCATGGGAGGCTGACCTCCAGTCTCTCTGACAGCTGCCTTTCCAGGACTCTGATCCAAGCTGTAATGAGCTCACTAGCTCCTAAGCCGGAACTCAAGAGCAGTGAGACTATCCAAGAAACGAGTTATACCATGTTTCCAAGGCAACTTTTTCCTTCAGAAGGATAAAACTGCTGAGCAGTATATTATCCATTCGATTCCCATTCTATTCAGGGCTAGTTCTAGCCTAGAAATAGTGAAATCTAGAAACTCAGGGAACAAGAGGAAATGCCAAAGCATCTACCTATTCTGGAGTTAATTACTAACTACTGAAATGATGGCTTATTCACCTACTGAGACACAAAACAACAGGTTTTATGCTCCTTTGTTTAGTTTATGAATTTTCTTGACTTTGCTAAGTACTCTACTTTTACAATGCTTATTTCACTTGAGGTAGTAGTGGAAAGTGTGACACTTAGCAGAAAAGAATGACAGGTCAGGTTCTGATCACAAATCTATGCACATTGGACATGCTCTTACAAAAACAGTGGGAAACAGCTGAGCATGTTAAAGTCATAGGAAAATCCTGAAGATATTACAGAAAGAAAACATTAAGCCCCTTCCTTCACGTTCACTGTATAACTGGTTTCTGCCTTCTAATAATACTGCCAAAACAGTTCTCTTTGAATAACCTCAGCTCTAGAATTTAAAAACAA